CATCTACCTCGATAGAGAATTCTCCTCGTGGCCTGATCCTTGATCAAGAAAAAATGAGGATGAAATTCAAGGAAGACATGGTTGTCAATGGCAATTCTATGCACAGAGAGAAGATTCTTATCGGCACTAGGAACTAGTAAGATTTTCTTTAGATGAATTTTACGACGAGGGGTACTAAAAAGTGAATGACCAACGTGACTGATCCTCATACCTTCACCGTTGGCAGTGTAGATTTGGTCCTTTCCACGGTACTTCTCCTTCATGGTGATCTTCTCGAGCTCGTTGGTGATGTGGTTGGTCGCCCCGCTATCGACGTACCAATTTGTGTCTACGCCGTAGGAGCCGTCCGCAGCAGCAGCAACCTTGTCCTCATCTTGGGAGGAGTCATCATCTTCATCATAGCGATACCAGCAGTCTTTGGCCGTGTGCCCAAGCTTGCCACAGATCTGGCAGCGTGGTGCATCTGGCCGAGACCTGCTGGAGCCACCGCCACGACGAGACTTGGAGTTGGGGGCGCGCCCGTTGCGGGAGTTGCTGGAGCCATTGCTGGAGCCGGCGCCACCGTTGCTTCCTGACCGCCCCTTGTTGCGGGGAGATCCACGCGGGCGAGGGCCGCCACCACGTCCGCGAGATGCAGCGTTCGCAGAGGACTTGAAACCGCCAGAGGTGCCGTGAAACTGAGCCATGCGCTGGTCAAAGTTACTCAGCATGGCATAGAGCTCGTCGATGGTGACGGGCGTGACGCGAGCGTCGAGGGCGGAGACGAGCGGCTGGTAGTCGACGTCGAGGCCGTGGAGAACGTACGAGATCAGTTCGTCGTCCTAGATAGGCTTGCCCGCGGCGGCGACTTCATCGGCGAGGCCGCGGAGGGAGGCGAAGTAGGAGGCTACCGACTGGTTGCCCTTCTGCGCGTTGATGAGCGTAGTCCTGATGTTGTTGACGCGACTGAGTGACTGGGACGAAACATGCTCGCCAGTGCCACCCAGAGCTCGTGCGCCGTGGTGATCGCGGTGACCGCGACCAGCACCTCCTTGGAGAGGGTACTCAGCAAATAGCCAAGCACCTGTTGGTCCTCCCGAACCCAAAGTGGGTGGAGAGGGTTGGGCGCAGAAGTCTCCTTGCCGTCCTTGTCCTTCGTGACGTGAAGTCTGGCCGGCTCCGGCGTGGTGCCGTCGACGTAGCCGAAGACACCGGCGCCCCGCAGGTGGGGTGTGACGTGCGTGCGCCATAGCACGTAGTTCGTGCGATTGAGCTTCTCGGTGACCTGGCCATTGAGGCTAGGCGAGGCGCCGGAGGATGAAGACATAGCTATGCACTAGATGCAATCGGGAGGCTAGATTGGAAGAGAAAGGCTCTGATTACCATGTGCGATGGCGGAAACGTCTTACCCGATGTGGGCGACGTGTACGTGTTTATATAGGCAGGGGCGCACCTCCCTGTACAGCGCATACAAGTTGTTGGAGATTACATCTTGGGGAGAAAGAAAGATCTTAGCTAGAGATAAACCTCAACAACCTAGTCTAACTAACTAGGACTCCTAACAACCGAAGCAACCGAAGCAAACAAGATAACAGGCAGGATAGGTGCGGTATGATGCGTGTTTGACAAAGTTGACTGCAAGTCTGTACCTTACGAAGTAGTCTTCCAACAAGGGAAAACCTGTCAATAACGAGGATCAATATTTATCATCTTGAAGAGCCAGTTTGCTTTGATGGTCATTAAGATCTAGCAAGGCTGAGCGCAGAACATAGATGATGGAAGATTAATCACCCAAAGAATAATTAACCATGCTACTTCAGAGCTGCTAGACCTGCAATATATATAGTACAAGATTATAGATCAACTAGTGAACAAAAGAAGTACCACCCACAGTGTTATAGATCCACAAGTGTAGAACAGTGAGACCCAATAGAACATATACCTGGATACGGTGTGTGTTAGCACAAACTGTTTCCTCTCTCCACCGGATCACTCGTTGGATCCTGCTTGAATAAAATTGATCAATGGACCAAGACGAAAGGAATGGACGAACGTGACCAAGACAAAACTTCCTCTGCAATGAGTAGATGCATACTGCGATTAACTGGAGAGAATAGAAGGACCAACTGAAATCTTTAGATCCTCTTGATTTTTTCTCTCTAGCTTTACCAGCCCAATTATTAGCGTACTGGAGAGGCGGAGACAAGCAAGAGCAAGAGCAAATGAAGCCTGGTTGGATACCCATACAGATACTAGGTGCTAAAGCAGTCCCCCTCCTCTGCTTGGGTAAAAAGATGCAGGCTATGGCTGGGCGTGCAGAAAATTCAACAAAGGTAGCGAGCTGCGATGGCGTGCCGAGTCTTCTGAAAGAGACTATAGAAAGCTGCTTAGTGTCATTGTTGTGTAGTAATTTACTGGTAGCATTTGTCACAGCCCACTAACATTAATTTACTGGTAGCATTCATCACCGCCCAGTCCTGATGGGGGTATCTATTACAAGCTGATTAATTGGAGAGAATAGAATGAAAATAGTCTTCAAATTCTCTGCTTGATTTCCTTATGCCTTACCGAAGCCAATGACAAGCTATCGGAGACAAGCTATTGGAGACAAGCAATAAAGAAAATGAAGCACCGGTGAGATACCAAGAAGAAACAAACACTAGGTGCTAAAGCCGGCCCCCTCTGCTTCTGTAGAAAAAAACAAGCTAAAAGAGACAACATACGCAACAAAGGCGGTGAACTGGGATGGTGTGCAGAGTCTTGTGAAAGAGACTGCCAAGCTGCTTATTTTCATTGCTGTGTAATTTATGCCAAGTAGTGCTTAGAGTAGTCCTAATGGGAGTATCTAAATGCATTGTTGTACTACCTAACATGCCTACCTCATCCTCATCTAGATTGATACTACTGCCTCCATATATAAAAATGGTTTCCACATATATTTAAAAAATACGTATTAACATATTTCAAACAAGTTTTCAGACATTTATAAAAATCCATGTTCATATAAAAGTTTATCGTGTCACAAAAATTTTTTGGGGGTGTTAAAAAAAGGGTTCGTCATGCTTCAAATTGTTATCATTGTGTATTTTAAAACATAGTGGTGTTTTTAAATAAATTAATCGTGGATATAAAATATGTTCAACGTGTATTAAAAATGTTTCAGGTTTTTTATAAATGTCCGTGGTGCATTAAAAAATGTTTGTATAATATTTAAAACCATATTTATAAATTTTCCAAACAATGCCTATCTTGTAAAAAAAATCATAGGAAAAAGGGGAAAACTCCAAAAAACAGAAAAAAAATGAAACGTGAAAAACATAAAAATAAGAAGAAAAAGAAAACAACAAAAAAGGATAAATTATATAGGAAAATAGAAGCACAAAAAGAATAAAAGATGTTTGCTTATGTATTTTAAAAAACTCACGTATATTGGCACAAAAATTTTATCTTAAAATATGTTCATGAAATTAAAATTTTGATCACGCATTTAGAAAATTGTTCACATATTTACCAAAAATATTCATGTAATTAACAATGCTCATACCTTTAAGAAAAACGTTTGTGTAATGTTTAGAAAGTTTTTGCACAATTTTAAATAATGTTTGTGTATTTTGAAAAATATTTATGTGTTTCTTGTAAAAAGAAACCGAAAATAAGAAAGCAATACAAAAAAAAGAGGAAATAGGTAAAGACAATAATAAAGAAATATAAATGGGCAAGTTTGACTCAGCAGGTGCAGACCACCACTATCCGCTTTGTATGTTCAAAAATTGAAAGCCTGCTTTCAACTGGCACGTCTCGAACAACATCAACATTTGACGCACTGCACACGTCGTGGCGTGTTCATTCTGAAGCTGTGTCAGTATGCCATCGCCTTCATCTTCCACGATTTACTGCAACACCCAGGATATATACTTTTTACACTTCATGGGTTACTATGATTTCCAGACAAATAGTTCTTCTAATGATGCAGTTTCGTGATACAGTGGAACAAAATGCTATTCCTTCATGACCAGGTCACACAGGTTCAGTGTGGCAAAGTCTCAGGACCAAGTTCAGCAAGAACTAAACAAAATTCATCACTTCCATTTCAAAGAATAAAATCATGCCAAAAGCTAAATTCATCTGTTTCTGTTACATTCAAAGAACAAAACCGTGTCACGCAGGTACAATACAACAAATTAAAGGCCTCCGGCCCCAAATACGGAAATAAATATAACGAAATTCGTGGCTTACATCCAAAGGACGAAATCATGCCACACATTTTCATTACAGCGAAGAACTTGCGACAAGTTCTGGAAGTAACAAATAGATAAATTCTAGGGAACCTGTCCAACGAAAAAACAAAACTCTTCCTTCACCAGCTCGCTACACATCAAGGACTTGAACACCTTCAGCATTGACAGCCTTCCTCACAGCTTAGTATTTCTGATGCTTTGGCCCATCGGAGTAAACTGCGGCATCAGTCATTGGCTGCCACGTTTTTGTCCAGCATAACTGAATTGGGAAACAAACCGTAGTAGTTATAAAAAACATATAATATGGTTACATAAACATGTTGCTACAAGTATATGTGGCCGTTCAGCGTGGGTGTAGCTGCAATTTATAAAAATGGGGTATTGTTCGTCACAATAAGAGATCAAGGCCCTCAGCAACTATTTGTTCATGCAAGCACACACGTACAGAAAATAGGTTTAGATCGCTGCCTATATTATAAACTCTACAAGGAAAATTATGAGAATCTAAGCAACACAAATTAAGTTTAGATTGATAATTTGTATGCCTGCAATCTGTGCATCCACGGACATCTACTAAAGTACTTTTAGAATATGTACAGGAGATTAAAGCATTTCTGGTGCTTAACTGCATACGCATAATGGCATACAAAGCTTGAGATCAGCCGAGGCAGAAAACTGTGATGTGTGAATACTGATTATGGTTCAGCAAATCAAAGAACAAAACGACATGTCCAACTAGTGTATATATGCAGTGCTCGTACCTTGTGCCTTTGCCACTGGCATCTAACTGGCAGACAAAGTGTAGACGTCCAGGTCTTCGCCATGAAGTCGCTGGTGCTGGTTTTGAAGCCTAGGCACCCAGCGGGAAGAGAACTCTTGCATATCCTCACCCAGCCCCAGCTGCTGCAAACTTACCAACCCCTCTACATGGCTTAGGTTTGGACAACCATGTACACGCAGTTCTGTCACTTGAGGGAGGTTGGAGATCCTCTGCAGGCCTTCACATTTCTGAATGTTAAGGAGCTCAGAGAGCAGCGGGAGGTCCTCCACGGCCTTCAAGCTGTTTGTACCAATTAATCTGAGCTCCTTCAAGCTGGTGGTCTCCTTTCCAAGTTGTCGCGGGAGAGCCCTCAGCTTCGGGCAACCTTCAAGTCTCAAAAGTACCAAACTAGGCAGCAGTGGAAACCATGCAGATTCGGCATCCTCTTTTCCAATTTCAACAGCTCCATCCTCACCCCTTTCATCAGTAGCAACTTCTTCCTCAAAAAAAGACCACACCTCCCAGTTGGGCATATCAGTGAATATCAGCCATTCAAGTTTAGGGAAAGCAACCAACTCATTACATACAGGATCACCCTTCTTGCAGCCAACAAATTCAGGTCCAACCTTGGTAACTCGATGTGCTCCATCAATTCTTAGATATTTCAAGTTGGGTAGCTGCCAGATCGGTGGAAGATGCACACATGATCGTACATCTATGAGTTTCAAGTGTATTAAGGAAGACAAAAAAGTGGTACGAAACCAGCTGGCATACCGCTGACCAAAGAATCTAACAATACATAGATTTTCCAGGTTGTGCGGAGGTATTAGCTGCTCAAAGACCTTCTCAGTATTACTAACATCTTCTTCTGAATATGACCCCTCTCCACGTTCAGTCCACTCTAGTATCAGTTCTTTTAGATGGTCTTTGTCCCTAAGCACTGTATTTGTACTGCAGTGAGCTGCTCTTTCCAATTTAACAAGAGAAAGATACCTCATCTGCGACAAAGAAGACAACTCTTCCAACTTCCATCCATCTTGTATAACAGCATTAGCACTTCCATCACCAACAGGATAATCTCCTAAATAAGTGAGGAGCTTCAATTTCCCCATGCCTTTTGGAACCTGATTTATTTTTGTGCCAAAAAGATCAAGGCATCTTAAACGGCTCAACAGTGTCATTGCTGAAGGAAGAGCATGTAAATAGTAACACCATCTCAAGCTCAGTACTTGAAGGTTCTTTAGGGATCCAATGGATTCCGGAAGACAAGATATGCCAGTATAATTTAGATTCAGTAGGCGTAGATGTATCATTTTTCCTATATAGTCCGGAATGATTTGCACAAGTGAGTAATTCAGTACTAAAACACGAAGGAGGAGAAATCTCTTGAACAATGTATCCTCAATTCTCTGTGGACCCTTAACAGTTAGGAAAGTCCTGACCTTAACATCCACCTTATCCACTCTAGATAACACCAACATATCCTTCTTAGTAACAGCAGTAACACGTCGCAGTTTTGACATATTTTCACCCCTTAATGTTTCAACATCTCCAATAAAACATTCATCCATTGATATATTAAGAGCAAGTTGCCTTAAAAGGTCATGCATTTTGCACCGAGACAGGTCAAAATAAAGCAAATCTGGTTGGAGGAGATTCCGATGTATTAGCTCGTAGTAGTACTCTTCTGCTATATCTTCTAGTAGTTGGCCTTGCTGCTCCTCAATGAAGCCTTCAGCAATCCATAACCAGGTAACTTCATCAAGCCGAATGATAGAATCTTCAGTATACAAAGCACAATAAAGGAAACACTGCTTCAGACGATGCGGTAACTCATCATAGCTTAGATATAGAGCCCCGTCTATGTCATCTGAGAGCATGCTCTGGCAGCCAACATATTTTCCCAAATACTTTCTCCACTCATTATCTGTTAGATCTTTGCAGGCCAAAGAACTAGCAGTAACCTTGATTGCAAGAGGGAGGCAGCCACATTTATGAACAATGTCAATTCCCGTGTTTCTTAAATTCTGCACTTCTTTCTCTTCGTCAATGTTCATGCTCTTCCAAAGTAGCTCCCATCCGACCTCTACTGACATGAGATCAACTCGATGGGTATAGTCTACACCTATTCTCTTTGTAATTTGATCATCTCGTGTGGTCACCAATATTACTCCGGATCTTGTTTCATGTAATGCAGGTCTTAATAAATCCGTCCATACATTGGAATGCCACACATCATCTAGAACCAGAAAGAAACTCTTCCCTTCAATTGTTTCTGCAAGCTTCCTCTGTAGCTCTGTTGTGGTTTCCCCTTGCTCATGATGCACACCAATATTCCGAAGAACCTCTTTAAGAAGAGTTACTTCATTGTAGTCTCGTGAAACACAAATCCATGCGTGCATCTTGAAGCTTCCTTTTAATTTTTGGTCATTATATATTTTCTGAGCTAGTGTTGTCTTACCAACTCCTCCCGTTCCAACAATACCAAGCTTGTAAGACTTATCTTCCTTGTGCGCAAGCACCAAGTCCACCAACTTCCTGCTAGAATGTATGATCTCCTTCCCCACAAGGTTGGGCTCAACAAGATTGGAGCTTCTTATGAGTTTGGATGTTGGACCATTTCTAGTAGACTGCATACTAGTGTTGAATGTTAAGAATATCTTGTCCTTTGAAATGTTCTCAATCTTTTTGTTGAGGCTTCTAATCCGAACAGCAACATCACGACGTGACCAGATGTTACAAAAGCAAGAGGAAACTGAGAGGCCTTTACATGCAGCCGATTTGCTTGATGATGACGAAGGATTGTCAGGAAGTAGCTTGCTTCCTTTACACCTAGCCACATCCAGGATTTCATCGACATCATATATAACATCTCTCAGTTGACCAAGCCAATTGTTTACTGCTTGCTCTTTTGTCCTTCTTTTCTCAGCATCATATATGCAACATTGTATTAGTTCTACTTGTCGCAAGACTTCTCTGAGCTCTTCTTTCACCCCAAGGACTAGTATGGCCTCATCTGTAATGATATTTTGTAATTTACTGGCACATGATCCAAGCAAAGATTCAAGTATGGCTGCCATGGATCAGACAAACTCATCAAGGGAGATCTACCAAAAACACCCAGGTGACTTGTTTCAGTGGATGGAAACTGAAGGCTGGAAATGAATGCACAAAATGTGTCAGCATGCTTCCCAAATGCGACAAGTCTCCAAAATCTATACAAGCATAAAAGAGTCCATGAGTACAAAAACAGATAGAGTCCTGAATAGGGCTACATATTGAGGTCTGAATCCCTGAGCTGGCACTCTGTTATTTCGTTGTTTGCGCTTGCAAATTTAGATGGGTTTTAATTCTGAATGTTAAAATGGTTTACTAATTTGCTTGGGTCACTAAATGGCAGCTGCATATAGAAGCATACATACTGAACCACAGAAAATGTTGCATTGGGTTAATAACAAGTAGTGCACAGATGCCATATATTTGTTTGTCTGGCCCATCTTATTCCTGATCGATTTCCCATATGCTGGCCTAGAATATATGATAATTTATTCCATCGTAGTTGTGGAAGTACGATAGCAAGTATTTACCTTACAAACCACTCTTTCAACAAGGAAAAACCATCGATAGCAAGTACCAATAGTGCTCATCTTAAAGATGCAATTCGCTCCACTGGTCACCCAATTGTTATTCTTAA